TGCTTGGAGGGAGCTGTGCTGAACGCCCAGGACTGGACAACTAAGGAGAAGGAAGAGGAAGAACAGATACAACTTCCCTGTGTTAGGCTAAGAAAAGAAAAGGGAAAAAAAAAAAAGAAAGAGGTGAAGCCACAGCTCAACCAGCTTGGGTACTTGAATAATGTGTGGAAATGAAAATTTTGAGTTTTGGGTAATGCTCATGCCTGTGCTGCTGGCTCCGGTGTCCTACAAGCCCCATTTCTGGGCTGCACACCCTGTTTACCTGGAGCCAAGTAAAACCCAGGGGAGGACACAGGTGTCAAGGCTGTGGCTCATCCGTGCAGGCCACCTGCATCCAGCCAGCACTGAACACACAGATCCCTCAGTCTCCACAGAACTCGTGGTCAGGGCGGAGGGACACGTTACAGATGAGTGCTTGTTTTCCTTCTGGGGATGACAGTTGCATACCATTGATAGGGGATTCAGAACACATGGGATTTGAAACCAGGGTAAATTTAGTCCAAGATCTACCAAACAGTAGGGGATCAACAATGTTTCTTTAAGCTCTTCCTGAATCAACTCAATATTGTGAATATCCAAAGGGCTGAGTTTTCTGAGATGAGGCTGGGCAAGTCCTGTAGGAGACAGAGTGGACAAGCGTGTCATAGTCTCTCAAACCATTGGACCCCCAGTTTCACTAGGACAAGACAAGAGTCCTACAGAATGGATCGGCACAGCATGCTCAACGCTTTGAATGAACCCAGGTCACCCTGCCAAGGAGCAGACTATGACAGAGAGGAGTCGCAGCATCAGCCCAGCTTTGGATGACATGGGGTATCTTAAAAGACACACTTAGTTCACAGAACCAACTACGTTGTCCTCTGAGAAGGAAAAGAAAAATGTAAAAAGGAAGTCAGAATTTCTTCTTGAGAAGCTAGTCCCCGAAGGGAGCAGAAATGGGCTAAAATAGAAAAAGAAACTAAAATTAAGTCATTTAAGAATTTCTTGAAAAAAGTAAGAGCCATCTTCATCAGTAATGATTTTGATAAAACTTCTTAAATATCTTGTTGAAGCTCCTTCCCATGTTACAAGAGCCCTGGAGAGGGGACAGACATGCCCTTGGCTGATGAGGAAGGTCTGGGAACCTGCCTCCGCCAAGGCTGCCACGCTCAGCAAAAGCGGACCTAGAGGTTAGACCAGGTCCTAGACCCAAAGGTCTTTCTGGAAAAACTGTTAGACATGGTTCAGGCAAAGAAAAAGCAAAAGGTCATATTCACCTTTAACTGCTCTTCAAAAAAAGATTAAGAGAAAGGATTTTACATTAACAGAATCAAGAACACTGACAGAACTGAGAACAAAAATCGTGTGATCATTCCGATACTTACTGATTTGCAGTTGTAGAACCACCCTTGCATCCTGGGATGAAGCCCACTTAATCATGGTGAATGATCTTTTTGATGTGCTGTTAGATTCAGCTTGCATCTATGTTCATCAGTGATGTTGGCCTGTAGTTTTCTTTTTTGTTGTTGTATCTGTATCTGGTTTGGGTATCATGGTAATGCTAGCCTTGTAAAATGAGTTGAAAGCTGAAAAGTTTCTGCAGAAGACCAGGCCAAGGTAGGAGGATCACTTGAGGCCAGGAGTTCAAGACCAGCCAGGGCAACACAGTGAGACTGTCTTTACAAAAAAATACAACCTACAGAATAGGAGAAAGTATTTGCAATCTCATTATCTGACAAGGGTTTAATAAGCAAACTATATAAGGAGCTCAAATAACTCAACAGCAAAAAATAAAAATAAAATATGATTTTAAAATGGTTCAAAGATCTGAACAGATATTTTATGACAGAAGACATGCACATGGTCAACAGGTATATGAAAAAAATGTTCAACATCACTAATCGTCAGAGTAAGTCAAAATCACAGTAAAATATCACTTCACCTCAGTCTGAATGCTTTTTCTCAAAAAGACAGGGAATAACAGATGCTGATGAGAATGTGGAGAAAGGGTAACCCTTGTTCACCACTGGCAAGATTGTGAATTAGCACAGCCACAGTGGAGAACAGTATAGAGGGTCCTCAAAGCCTAAACATAGAACCACCATATGATCCAGCAATCCCACTGGTGGGTATATGTTTAAATCTGCACTCCCATGTTTATTGCAGCACTATTCACAATAGCCAAAATATCGAATTAACACAAGTATCCATCTGTGGATGAATGCATAAAGAAAATGAGGTATAAACACACAGTGGAATATTAGTAAGCCATAAAAAGAATGAAATCCTTTCATTTACAGCAACATGATGTTAAGTGAAATAAGCCAAGCACAGATTGCGGGGGCTAAAAAAGAGGACCTCATGAAGATAGAGAGTGGATTGGGGGTTACAAGAGGCTAGGAAGGGCGAGGGGGTGGGTGGGGAAAAAGAGAGGCTGATTGAGGGTATAAATATACATGTAGAAAAAAATCAGACCCGGTGTTTGATAGCTCAGTAGAGTGATTATAGTTATCATTAATTGGCTGTTTTGAAACAGCTAGAATAGAATAGTTCAGTTGTTCTTAGAAAAGAAAAGGTAAATATTTAAGGTAGTAGATATTCCCATTGCTGCAGTTTGATTATGTGAGTGTAGATTATCATATGTACCCTGAAAATATGTACATCTAACAGGTGTCAATAAAAAGTAAATACTTATTTAAAAAGAGAATAGATGCCTGAGTTGTTTCCACCACTTGGCTAATGTATATAACGTCGTTGCGAATGTGGGATAAAAGTCTCTATTTGAGACCCTACCTTTATTTCCTTTGGGCATATAACCAGAAGTGGCATTGCTGGATCCTATGACAGTTCTATCTTTAATTTTTGAGGAACAACCATACTGGTTTGCATAGTGGCCATACCATTTTACATTCTCACCATAGTTTTCAATTTCTCTACACCCTTGTCGACACTTCTGCTTTTTGATTGTAGCCATCCTAATGGACATCAGGTGATATTTCATTGGGGTTTTGGTTTTCATTTATCTAATGTGAATGATATTCACCGTCTTTCCATGTGCTTATGTGGCCATTTGTATAACCTCTTTAAAGAAATATCTATTCAAGGCCCATGCCACTTTCAAATTGAGTTACTTATTTTGTTGTTGTTGTTGAGATTTAAATGATCTTTATATATTCTGGATATTAACCCCCATCAGATATGTAATTTGCAAATATTTTCTCTCATTTGGTAGGTTGCCTTTTCATGCTGTTGATTACGTGCTTCACCATACAGAAGTTTTTAAGTTTGATGTAGTCCCATTTGTCTATTTTTGCTTTTGTCACCTGTGCTTTTGGTGCCATATCCAAAAAAATCATGCCAAATTAATGCATGAAGTTTTCCCCTATATTTCCTTCTAGAATTTTTATGCTTTTTGTTATTGTATCTAGTTCTTTAATCAATTTTGAGTACATTTTTGCATGTATGTAGTGTAAGGTTAGGGTCTAACTTTGTTCTTTTGCTTGTAAATATCTAATTTTTCCAACATCGTTTGTCGAAGAGGCTGTCCTTTCCCCATTGAGTGGTCTTGGAACCCTCACCAAAGATCATTTGACCATATATGTGAGGGTTGATTTCTGAGATTTATATTCTATTCCATTTTTCTATGTCTTTGTGACAGTATCATGCTGTTTTAATTATGTAGTTTTTAAATTACTGTAGTTTTAAAATCAGAAAGTGTAAGACCACCAATATTGTTCTTTTACAAGATTGTTTCGGCTATTCAGGGCCCCGTGAGATTCCATGTGAATTTTCGAGTGGATTTTCCTATGTTTGGAATAAAAATGAGGTTTTGACAAGGATTGCATAGAATCAATAGTATTGGCATCTTAACAATATTGTCTTTTGATCCATGAACATGGGATGTCTTTTCATTTATTTATGTCTTCTTTAACAGCTTTCATCAACATTTTCTAGTATTCAGCATAGTTTTAACATTTTGTTTACAAGTCCTTCACCTCCTTGGTTAAGTTTCTTCCCCAAAGATTATTTTTTGAAAAAACAAAATCTACTGTATCTAAGCAAGAGGGAGTTCTTCCATCTTCTCCTTTCCTTAGTCAATGTAAAGTCTAAATAATTGCTAGATAGTATTTAATTGTTCCTTTATAAGAAACCATGCTTGCAGGTCAAAATAGCCTTAATAATTGTGTATTGTCAGCTTGCTTCAAAGCAGCCCACTTAGATCCCAGCCCAAGGCCAGCACCACCTGGGACCGAGAAGACACATTCTCCAAAGACAACTTCCACCGCGAAGATTAGCTGTGTGTAACTGGCAACCATTGGAGAACCAAAGATGAAGGACTGTTTTGTTTTGTTTCATCTTGTTTCGTTTTGTTTTTCCAGCATGGATAATGCAATTAGACTGAGCCCTGAGATTGCTAGTTACGACAATCTCAATAAATACAAATAACTCTAATCCATCATGCCACCATCAGGAGCAATTATATTTCAGGTAAGTCAGCTCAAAGGCATGACTAACTCCTTACAAGCAGCCCAACTGTCCGTGGGTGTTGAGTGGCTATGAAACATCATGCCTTCATCTCTGCCAAGGAGCAAGCTCAGGTGCACACCTGGGTTTGGCTGCCAGGCTTTCCTTGGGAGAACAAGTGCTATAGTCCCAGGTCAGACTCCAGGCTGAGCTCAGGACATCAAAGGAAGTCAGTGGTGGAGAGTGACTCGTCCTGAGGGCAGGAACATCATCTTGATGTCGAAGCCCTGTGCATTTTGGCTAGAGCTTCCAAAGCCATCGTAGCCAGGCAGAGGCCTTGATGAAAGCTTCCTTGTCTAGCAGGCTCACCTTTCACACAGGTGTACCTAACCCCTGAATCTCACCTGCAAAGCCCAGCCAGCCCACTGCTGCTGTGCTCCCAAAGGGATAGGGACAGAAGGTGACAGAGGCCCTGGGAACTGAGCAGGCAAAGGAGTCCTTTACAATTTCTCTTCGGCATGAACCAAGTGACATCCTGTAGGATGACCAAAACTTACCGTGTGAGCAGACAGAATGCCAACCATGGTGTGTCCCTGCATGAGCGCTGGGTAAAAGGAGAAGGCAGGCAAGGCCTCAGCCTTTCGAGCAGGAGTGGCCAGTCCTGCCAGGCGGTTGACCCAGGCAGTGGCAGCAAGCGACAGGGGTTCCTGTCCTAACCCCTCCCCCAGGGTTGCCCAGCCCTGGGAAGCCACCACTGGGGACATGCTAGCGCCCTAATGTTGGTGCCCCTCCTCCTGGGGTCATGAAGCAGCAACAAGCGGGCTCTGACCTCCTGAGGACACACTGGAGAGCAAAAGCAACAAAAGCAAGAGGAATCAGCAAGATGGGCCTGAGTCCAGCCTGCAGAGGAATCAGTGAGATGGGCCTGAATCCACCCCGCAGCAGGGAGCTTGCCCAGGTGCTCCCTGCAGAGCCAGAGTCTGTTAAACAGCAGCTTGGAAATCAACTGACAAGTTGCTGACCTGAGAGTTATCCACAGTCACTGGTAACTTGGAAATTGTAGTTCAGACGAGGTGCACATAGACCTACAGTGAGAGAAAAGGGGAGTCAGAAGTATTTAATATTTTTTTTAACAATTGTGATGTGAGCCTATCAGCACAGGTCCCAGGAGGTGGCTGCCTGGTGGGTGGATCTGATGAGGAGCCCACAGCCCCTGCTGCCCACAGCCCTCCCCACCAGCCTCGGGGCCCCCTCCCAACAAGAGTCACTCCTCCTGACCACAGGAAAGGATGAGATGCTGACCGCAGGCCCCTGCTAAAACCATATCTCTCCTGGGAAGGGAGAGGCTGGCTGCCACGCCCCTGACTCCACTTACACACATGAGGAGGGACGCACCACTTCCTTGGGTTCAAATCCCAACTCAGCCACTTACTGGCTGCGTGGGGGAATTAACGAGCTCATCTGTATAAACCCCTGCTGAGAGTCTGGCAGGCACGTGGCGGGCCTTACGCCTTTGTCTGTGGTTATGATTGTTATCACCATTAGTTGTCACTTGGAGAGAGACGCTCAGAGCTCCCATGACGTGGTGTGGAAGACAGCAGAATCAGCAAACACTGCGTTAGAATAGTCGGGGTCAGCGACAAATCTGGGGGTGTGCATGGAACGGGAAGGGGCCACGGCCAAGGGGACCCCAAAGAGAAGGAAATCAGGGAGGACCTGGGGAAAGTTGCCGTCCAGTGGGGAGCCCATGAGAGCCAATGGTGGAGGGCCTTGGATGGCCCACGTGCCTGCCATGCCTCCTGGACCCCCGGCTCCTCCTCTAATAAGCTCTGCTGCCCTGAGGGAGTCAGACAACTCCTCGGAGCCTGGGCTCCCTAGAAGGCCCAGCCATCACCCTTTCAACTAAATGGAAGCTTGCAAATCGCCTGGGCCTCCTTGGTCTCAATCCTTGGAGCCAGCAAGATATACAACCGTCTGTGTGCACAGAGCAAGACCACAATTTGCCCAAACTGTGGCTGCTGCGAAATGTGACGTGAGAGAGACTGGCAAGACCCTCCCCCAAATCATCCGCACCATCTGTAAAAACCCTGCCACTATGGCTTCATTTCCATGGATTCATCCTGCCACTGTCAGGCTTCAGGGGTCCCTGCCACACGCAGGTTTATACACTGCGAGCTCATCACAGCTGCTCTAAGCCCCTCCCCTGGAACCTGTCTCTTACCTGGCTGGACTCACACGGTCCACATGTCCGCAACCCTGGACCTCAGCCTCAGTGCACCTTTTCCTCTGCTGCACCCTCGCCCCCCGCCCCAGCTCTGCCACTTTACCACCTCCGGGTTTCCTGAACCTCCCCTTTCTCCTAGCCCACTCCAGAGTCTGGGCACCACTGGCCTGGTGGCCTCAGGGCTGGGTCCCCCAGCAGGCTCCAGAGTATGCCCTCTGCTCATCCACCCTCTGCAAAGACCCCCGAGCAGCCTCTCTGTGAGGCTACACCCCACAAAGCTGACATTTGTCTTGGCTCCAAATGGCCGAATATTGGCAATTTCGTGCGGTTCAACCCATAAACGGTAGAGAGGACTGCAGGGTTCCTGTGTGGAATCCTCAGTAGCTCCATTTGCCAAGCTGCTTAGCTACCTAGCTCCAGCCTGCCCCTCCACACTACCTAGCAATGCCAAACGCACAGCTTCCAGAACTTTCCCTGTGTTTCGCCTTGGCTGTGGCTTGGCTGTGGAGCCCTTCTGCCTGGCCATATCCACATGTTCTCTTTTCTCTTCCCACTCATCCTTAAGACCCAGCCTCGCTGTCACCACCTCTAGAAAGCCTTCCTTGACCAACCCTAGTCCACAGTAAGCAGTGCCCCTGTTCCTAAAGTTTCCCTGGGAATAATACTGCATTGACCACATTGGCTTCAGCGATGTGTTTTTCCTTCCACTTCTCCTGCTCTAGTGTAGAACTCGTAGGGCAGGAACAAGGTTTCCATATCCCCCATCACCTGGAATAGCAGCCCTTGGTTAACATGTACTGAATGAATCACAGTAACTGTTGGCTGGAGCTCATTCACACTAGCATGTAAATGACTGATACCCATCTTTTTCTGAAAACAACCCCTGATGGGAGAGAGGAAGGGGAAACCCCAGAGCCCTGGGCAAGTGAAGCTAGAGAAGCAGCCCCTCCTGGAGAGGGACAGGTCCAGCCAGCAGGGAGGACAAGCTTCAACGATGCTTATGAAGGTGGGCTCCGTTCTGCATGCCTCTTAAGTGGCTTGGGTGGAGGGAATCATGGTTCCTATTTGAACAAGTGAGAGGCCCTTAAGACAGTTTCTAAATGGAAAACTTCTCAAAGGGACTGGGAAGCGTGGGCAGCTGGAGAAACCGGGCATCTAAGCACGGAAGTGCAGCTGAGCAGGTGAGCTGCAACTGCCTCTGCTCCCAGCGGCTGGCTTCCCAGCAAGCCGCGGTCCTGCCCCCACGCCCACACGCACGGCGGCTTGCCACTTCACACAGACTAATTAACAAATAGCAGGATGATTAAATCACACGGCCCATGGTATTTTCCCAATTCCTCTCAGTTGAGACAGAGCATGAAAGTGAAATCAGAAGCTCTCCCCAGAGGGCCCGCTGCAACCGCAGGCTGCTCTTCAGAAGCAGCAGCAGCCACTGAAGAGTCACAGCCTCATGCACTCCGGAGACCATGGGCAGCTGCCTCCGTGGCCGTGTCCCGCCCGTCTCACCTGGAAGCCCTGGGCCGGGCTCTGGCCCCCAGGACTGGAGAGCAGGTGTCGGTCACTGTGGCTGTCCTTGCTTTCTTTCCCTGGGTCTTGCCCCTTGTGCCAAGCTGCTGGCTGCCCCGCTCAGCTCCCACCCGCCTCCTCTCAGGGCACAGATGCTCCAAAGCTGCCCCCTGCTTCCTCCCCCTGGCTCCAGGCACAAGCACTGGGTCCCGTCTGGACACTCACCAGCGTGGCTACCTTCTCTCCTGCTGGTCAACACCCCTTTCTGCTGGAGTTCATCCCTTCAGGGCTCTGCCCTCTTCTCTTTACACAGCAAACTGAGGACCCAGCTGCCCCTCGTCTGAATGGATTGTTGGGAGGGGGCTACCAGCCAGCAGCCCAGACAGAGCACTCCAGGCACTCTGTGAGACACGGACAGATCCTTGCAGAAGTGAGACGTTCTAGAGCTTGGACAATTCCCGAGATGGCCATCAGGACTTTGCTTTAAGGACTTTGCTCTTGGAAGCTGGGTTTTTCCTCTATGAGTTAGAATTCCATGACAACATAGCACCCAAAACACAGATGCTGTCTACCTCTGTTCGTAGAGTCAAGCTCATTAAAATTCATTAAAGCCACAGACTATCAATCTACTGAAAATCATTTATAACAAGTCAGACTGACAACAGACCTTGATGTTGCATAGTACTCAGTTTGGTCAAATCAGAAAGCTCCATAAGGAGAAGGAGGAGAGCGATGTGGAAATATGAAGAGGTAAAATGATGGTACAATGGCCAGGGTGCAGGGTGCGCAGAATCCAGAATTCACCTTCCTCAAGGCCAGCTCAGGGCAGGATTCTAACACACACGTGCTCAGGCATGCACGCACATGTGCACACGCATGCACATGTGTGCACACGCATATACATAAGCACACAGTGCCTTCACCTGGCTGCTCGATGACTCCTCTCTCACATGGAAACACTACTTTGCATGTTTAGTCCTCTCCCCAACTATGAATTCCTGCATACTTATCCCCAGAAATTCAAATTCACATGACAGATAAAAGAACCTCTGTCAATTAGTTCACTTATTTACCAAGATAAGCTCTTCCTTTCCTGGAAATGGTCATCTGTCGGTTATCACAACATTTCACGTGGGCTTCCTCCAGGGAATGGGAAGGAAAAGGACAGTCAGCAGCTGTCTCGAGAGTATTGCCTTGCTGGTTTAAACGTGCCTGGAAGTGTTTGCAATGGGACCAACAGCAGGTAGAGACACCGGTGGAGTATGCTGGGAGCAGGAGGGGCTGCCTGGGAAGGTAAAAAGGAAAGGGAAGAAAGAGAGGGACCATTCCAGCAGGGAGTAGTGTGATCGTGACACCTCCAGTGCCTGTCAACCAAGCACTCAGGATTTATTTCTGCCCAAATTATCCTAAGAGAGGCAATGGCCTCATTGGGTGCTGTGGAGAAATGGGTCCTAGCTCCTAGATGAGAATGGCGGCCAGCCTCTGCAGATGGACAGGGAAGCTGCCAGGGAGAGCCGGGCCATCCCGGTGGCAGCCACCAGCCTCACCCCAACCCCCTCCAAAACCACCCCGGAGGCAGGTGCTGCTACGCTGTGCAAAGCACCTGCCGAAGTCTGGGAGAGGCCACGCCCATAATCACAGCAGGGCGTTTGTTGTGCTTTTGAGAGTCAGCCCATTACTCCTGCTGAGACTCCAGCACTGATGTGCGCCAAGGATGCTGTGACTAAGGGCTATTAACTGGGTGGCCTGACTTGGACCGCAGAAATTGCCTGACTCTCAAAAAGTTCCCCATCTTGTTCCTTTCTGAAGGGTAAGTGTAATGTAGACATACATCATCATTTGTACCGGAAGACACGCTGGCCACTTCACTGAGTCAGGCTTTCACTTAAACGTAATAGCTACCCACTTCTGAAAACAGAAACTGCACTGCACTACACTATTCCATGCCATATTCTGTGGTGCTGTGCCATGCTATACTGAATAATATTACATTGGACAACACTATATTATGCCATCCTATGCTATACTATACTATGCTACATCATTCTATGTGTATGCTGTCCTATGCTGCACTGCACTATGCTATGTAACACTGTACTATATGATGCTACAGTATACTACACTGCACCACATCATACCGTGTTATACTATACCACACTATATTATGCTACACTATACTACAATATGCT